TGTGTGTGTGTGTGTGTGTGTGTGTGTGTGTGTGTGTGTGTGTGTGTGTGTGTGTGTGTGTGTGTGTGTGGACAGTATTAACATGTTGTTAAATGTCAACACCAGCTCCACATTAGTATTGTGACTAATTAACATTCAAGCCCACTATCAGTTTACGTGTGGCTGTTAATTAAATTAAATGGAAACAACATGAAGTCATTGCTGCAAAATTCAACACCTAATTCTTTTATTAGCATTTAAAAAAAAATAGTGTAAAATATATTTGTACTGATACTGTGTCATCAGGTTCCTAAGCTGCATGCTCTATCTTGAAATGCCTCAGGCAAAACAACCATGTACTATACTAATCAAACAATAAACAATAGGATGTATGTATATGATACCTTTCCAACAGCTTGAAATGTCTTACGAACAAAAAGAAGAGTAAAATTATGAACAAAAAGGTGTAAAAAGTAAGACAGTAATGTAAGATAATTATAAATATTCATAACAGAACATACCTTTTATTATAATGCTACTTTTGGTTCAGGTTTAGCTGATGCTTTTGTCTAATGCAACTCACAATACTTACAAAAATACATAAGAATACAAACTCAGAACAACAAGAAACATGTAGCCTAAGTATATTCTCTTCAAAAAAGCCAAAGCATTGTAAGTGATGGTGCATTAGCTTCAAATGGGCTTAACCCTTTTAAGTGCTATATTGTTTTGCGTTAAAAAAAAAAGTATAATTGTCAAGGTACAAGCAAAACATGTGGGATTTTATTTTGTGAAGGATGATATGTAGAATTTCTATTTTCCTATCAATCATTCCACCATTTTTGAGCCAGGATAGCAAACGGGTGTGTTTTTGTTGAGGGGAAGCTGGCTCCAACCCACAATGAGGCAAGCCAATTGGCTGATGCAGCATGAAGTGCACGTGCTGAAGTGTTAAGTGTATGAAGCCCTGGATCCCTTCACAGCACGATAGGCTGGTACCAGTGTCTTGAAACGGATTCGTTCAGCCAGTGAAGGCAGCAGAGCAGTGGTAGTAGTATGGGAGAGTTATTATTAGTAGTATTAGAAAGATAAAATTACTCAAGCAGCTTCATTCTGAATTAGCTGCAGACGTTGAAAGGCACTTGCAGGTAGACCAGCCAGGCAGGGGGTCGAGTAGTCAAAAAGTGAGACGGTCTAATGTTTCACCGGATAAACCTTTGGCATGACTCTGACATTGTAGGAAACTTCCAATCTTGCAAAGCACCCTTATTTTATTTTATTCAGCAAAAATCCAACGCCAAAAATAATTAATCACACAGATGAATCAGTCTGAGGAAAACGTTTGGACGTGTTTTTCTTGTTTTGTATTAGTTCCACCTGTCAGTAGCTTTATGCACTGAACCAATGACTCGTGATAA